AGTCCATCCGGTTGTCGAAAGATCATGCCCCCCTGGCCTGGGACATTTTCAAATCCAGAGTTGTCCGCTACGCGTCGTCCCTTGGCGCCTACGTGGCCAAATGCAACCGCATTGACGAGGAAGCTTGTCATCATCTCATCACCCACGTCGAATGCCTGATGCAGGATCCCCTGCTTACGGCAGACCAGCTCAAACGACTCCAGGACGCTCGCTCTGGCGCTGTAGCCGAGCTCCAAGAAATCGCTCGTACCAAGGCTGAAGGGGCTAGGTTGAGGTCGCACCACCTCTCGTGTGCCCTCACCGAACGCTGTACCAAGGTGTTCTTTAGCCTTGAGCGTGAGTGCATCAAAGCCCAAACCATTGCCAAACTCACGGTGAACGGCGAGGACTTTACTACTCCGAACGACATAGCATCCGTGCTGCACGACTTTTACTCCAAACTCTACGACTCTGAACCAATCGACGAGGCTGCCCTGAGCGAGGTCCTTGCGCAAGCAAATCCGGCGCGAAAGCTGTCCCGAGCAGAACAGAAGTCACTGGGCGCGGATCTCAACCCGTACGAGATTGCTGTCGCTATCGAGAACACTGCGCCTGACAAGAGCCCCGGTCCTGACGGCCTGACAGGCGCCTTCTATCGCACATTCCAGGCACGCCTCTGCTATGCATTGTCCTACGTAGCCAACGCGGCGTACCGGAACAAACGCCTCCCTGACTCCATGCTTGAAGGGTACCTGAAGGTCATGTACAAGAAAGGCGCCCGCTCAGACCCGGGCAACTACCGACCAATCACCTGTCTCAACGTGGACTCGAAGATTATTTCCAGAGCCCTGATGGCGCGCTTTGCCCTGATTGCCCCTGAGATTGTCAACCTCAACCAGAACGGATTTGTTCCTGGTCGTACCATCGATGCCAACATCCATCTCATGCGCGACTTGCTCGATTTGTGCCGCGTGTGCAACATTCCGGGTGTTGCTGTCCTGCTGGACTCTGAGAAGGCATTCGACAGAGTCGATCACCAATTCTTATTCCAAGCACTCCGCAAGTACGGCGTCGGTGAGAGTTTCATCAGTTGGATGGAACTGCTCTACACTGGCTGCCAATCCCGCGTTGTGTACAACTGCACCATCTCGCTTCCATTCCCGATCAAACGATCTGTGCGTCAAGGGAGCGTCGAAGCGCCGTTCTTGTATGCCATCTACGCCGGCGTCATCTCCGACTATGTCATCCACAAACTGCGCGACAAGATGCTCTCTCTGGCCCTGAGGTCTGGTCCCCAAATCGTGGAACCCAGCTTGTTTGCTGACGACACTTCGATCTTCCTGTCGGATCCCAACCACATCCATGCCCTGTTTGAAGTCTACGCAACAGTTGGCAGGGCTACCAACCTCAAGATCAACGAGGCCAAAACCTCCGTCCTGCGTCTCGGCCCCCTTCGGGATGCCGATCGGCCGGACGGCTTGGCTCATCTCCAATGGGTGCCTCCTGACGGCACCACTCGAGTCCTTGGCGTGCAACTCGGCTACGGCGATCTTGCCAAAGCCAACTTCGAGCCCCTGCAAGCCAAGGTCGCGCGTGCGCTGGGTCGCTGGTCGCGCCACAGTCTCTCGATCGCTGGCAGGGTCCTGATTGCCAACGCGATCGGACTCTCCCGCGTCTGGTATCACTGTCGCTTCATCCACATGCCCAACAAGTACTCCAAGACACTGTCCGACACTGTCAACAATTATCTCTGGAAAGGCCGATTCTCCCCGGTCGCCAGGGAGGTTGTGACCGCTCCTCCCAAAACGATCATGTTTGGGCTTGGACTCATCGATCTCCCCACCAACATTGCAGCGACGGCTGCCCAAGCGCTAATCAACTTCCTGTCGCCTGTTCCCAGCTTCTGGAAGTTGGTTGTCAACCACCTCGCCGAAGTGGCTGACAGACCAGCTCGGCTCTCCGACTATCCTGTCGCCGAGTACACGGCCATGCAGCGGCTAGTCGCCAAATTCCCGTTCAGACTTTCGCTCTCGGTGTTCTGGCACCATGCCTTCAGGGCGTGGCGCAGGCTGCTCCCTTTCTCTGAGCCTCCTCGCTCGAAGAACGAACTCCTCGCCACTCCCCTCTGGCGCAACCCCATGCTTGACAAGATCGACTTCAGGATGCTTCGGAAACACGGCATCTCGTACCTCCATCATCTCCACTCTGGCAAGAAATGGCAGTCGGCCCGCGATCTCCGCGAGTTCTGCGACTCCCGTCTGCCACAGGTCGAAGCCAGACTCCAAGTGATCCGCTCTAAAGTCTCGCACATCGACCCGTCCAAACTGCGGATCGCCCCTGTGCGCTTCCGCGAGAACGATTGGGTTGTTGACTCGTGGGGCTTCCTCCGCAGAATCTTGGAAACTCCGGCCGCCGACGCCTTGTCTGTGCGCGTGAAGCCCTACGTGTTCCGCCTCCACGGTCAGGTTGTGGTGCCTAAGCACATCCTCTCAGCCAGGCTCCCGCTTGCTGAACTCACACCCAGCAGTGGTATCGGATTGGACCTCTCCGTCTGCCAAGTCCCACACCAAGCCAAGCGACCTGCTGATGCAGCTCGCTGAAGCCTATCCTCCACCAAAACGCCCTGAGGTCGAAGGATTCTTCTTTGGCTCTCTGATGCGTCTCGACGTTGACCCAACCCGGCTGCAGCTGCGTGGCAAACCCGACAACATGTATCGCTCGCTCTGCATCGACAAAGACCTAGACGACCTTCGCCGCACCGCAAATCGCTCCAGGAGGACGATGCTCGAAAGCCGCCATCCCTCTGAAATTGAGAATGCCCGCTACTGGCTGGCACTCTACCCCAAACACATCGAGGAGTGCAAAAAGCGCGCGCACATTGTGCGATGCACCTCATCTGACGCATCGCTGTGCAATCTTCGCCACATGCTCACGCCCGCCCCGGTCAAACCAACTGCCCTGGTCGAGTGGGAGCAAATCCTAGGACCCGTGCACTGGTCCAAACTGCGCCGCAACATGATGACCAATCTTGTCCCGCGCAACCGTGCCGGCCTCATCTGGCGCATCGCTCACAACACCGAGTACCTGGGTGAGATTCGCCTGCTGTCTCGCCGCGACAAGCTCACCAACGAACAACTCCGCGAGGAGTCACACAGTGGCGCGTTCGCCTGCGTCCACTGCTTCCGACTTCAAGGCACCCGTGCCCCTCTCGAAAACTGGCTGCACATGATTGTCCACTGCCCCCTGGCTGTGGCGGTCTGGCGCGAGGCCGAAACGCTGTTCAGCCACGCGCAAGGCCCCTGGTTCCCTAGACAGCGTTCGCAATGGCTCTTTGGCCCTATCAAGAACAAACGCTACCACGCCTTGATGAAAGACGAAGCACTCGCTTGCCTCACCATCGTCATGCACACTGCCCGTTGGACTCTCTGGACGCTGCGCTGCACTGCCAAGTTCGACAACACAGTGTTCACCCCCGCCGACGCGGTCCTCCGCTTTCGGTACCTCATCACCCTGGCAGCGCGCCTCGAGCACTCTACCAAACCCCTCCCCAATCCCTGGAGGACTGACGACGACGGCGACGACTTTGGCGCCGCCCCTCTCCATACTGATGAGCAAGAGCATCCCCCCTTCGAAAGCAGGTGGGGAAAGGCTTTTGAAATCCGGTACAATGAACGTCTTTCCACACAACTGTTTGCCCTCGCGTACACCTAGTACCCGCAAATTGTGTGTAAAGCGGTTGACCGTTTCTGAATTGTCGCTCCTTACGACAGTGTGCTGTCCCACCGCCTGCCAGCCGTCTACTTGTTTGTGAACCGTGTTGGCTAGCAACATGTCTTTCGTGGTGTATAGGTGGGGAATGCCTGATCCTTCCATTGTCAGCCCGGCTGATCATCTGTTCGAGTTCCTCTGTGAGCTCTTGAGCACTCCTAAGCATGCCTTTTTGGTGTGTTATTATGCGACATCCAACTGTCTCATATCCTACGTTCTTTTTTTTTTCTTTTTTTTTTTTATTATTCTCAATAAAGCTTTAGACGGTAGAGAAGACCACCATTTCACTTGTCAACTTCAACTCTCGCTCTATCGACCGCTCGTACTACCTTGGTGGTGCCGGGATTGGCTGCAGTGACTTGCCAGAAAAGAGCAGCGAAAGGGCGCCTGCAACCCAGCCAACTGCCTGCTGCGGCTGCATTTTGTTTGTGCGCAAATTTGAAAAGAATTGGGAAAAACGAAAATCTAGAAGCGCAAAAATGGAAAAAAAAATGGATTTTTTAGTGCTTTGTTTTTGTCGAAATTAAGAATGGATATAAGCGATCGGTTTTGACCGTGTACTGTAGAACGGTTAGGAGGAAGCCGTGGATGCTGCAGTGACGGGCGAAGAAGAACGAATGCACAAATTGGAAAAATTACGTTGAAGAAGCGATTAGCTTTGGGTGGCCTCTCAGAAGCAACAGCTCCGGGCCATGCATGACCTGCAACGATTGCCTCAGTGGGTTTAGCGGTTCTCACTGTCGGTCGCGAAAGGCCAGCTGAGCACGCTGTTGTCAGGAATTGAATTGACCTTGTAGGCTCTAGCACGCCGTTCCAGGAATGAGCGTAGTTCGTGGATGGATTCGAAGCGCACCCTAGACCGGGCGTTGATCACGGCGTTGGCCATCGCACGAGCCGCAACAGCGGTTGTGGAGCGAGAGGTGCAGAATTGTGTCGCAATACGCGCCTCGGTGCTCAAATTCGGGTTGTACGCCCAGCAGTCTGCAAAGGAGTACCACGATAGCTGCATGAGCACAAAATACCTGAAATCTTTGATGCTGGCCTCGACGTTGCTTACATTCTGCAATAGGCTTGAAACCGGCGACGAACTCTGCCAGACCAGACCGAGGAAGGATGCAGGCGTTAGACTGGACTTGGTTTTGCTGGAAGGACACCATATGAGAAGTGGTCAGCAATGCGACGATGGTGGTCGCAGGGTTGGAAGTATTTTGTTTCGCAGCTGTAATGAACGCCCGCTGCTGGTCGAGGGAGTGGGCTGTTTCGACTTCAGGAAACTTGCATTGCAGCGCCAAAGTGACTGGCTTGAAGCGATTCTACCAAGGTCAATCAATTACCTCCGTAAGCGAACGGCGCAATGATCCTAGACAAAGCCAATCAATCCACTACCTGAGATTTTACGTAGACAGTACCCCAGGCGTCGATCGCAGTAGTACCAGCCACAGTCCGACAGATTTGACCATCCGGACAGAGCGCGGGTCGGGCTGGGTTGAGGGAAGGGTAGTTGCGCCATTTCTCGACGTTCACGAAAAGCACTGGTGTTTCCAAAGAGCTCACTGTGCCAGGAAACAGCCTGTCCACGCGCGCGAACTTGGCCTGGGCATTTTCAGTCAAGGCTGAAGCAACTGCCAACAGAATTCTCAAGTTGGTCATGATGACGCAAAACATTTCCCACGCTGCCCAAGGCTCAGTGTGTTGCTTCGCGAGGGAGTCATTGAGATCGCGGAACTTGGAGAGAGCAGTCACGATTGCTTTAAACACGAGTGCGCTCGTTGCAAGAGATGCAGCTGGGTCGGATGCTCGCTCAATTCGACAAACGTGAGGATGCACCAATGTCTCCTTTCCTCGAACAATCAGCAGGGCGCTCGTTTCGAGTTCATCGAGGAGAGTACTGTTCAAAGGCGATGAAGCAACACCCAGTCCCACAATCCGGAGAATAGTCGAATCGCTCAAAGTGGACAAGTGGCTCGTGTCACGGTAGAGATCTGGCGCTGCAGCATGCAGAAGTGTTCGAGGTAGCCCAGCAGCTTCAGCGGCTTGGGCCAGAAGGCACACGTTCGCGCTCCATGATACCCGTTCCGTGTTCGGCTCTTTCGACTCGTGAATGTGTTTCAACAACATTGAGACAAACTTGGGTTCAAGAGGAGAAAGGGGAATCTTCAAGACGAACGTTTTTGAGCCAGAGCCCGAGACGGTGGAAATCGCATCATTCAAGGCATGCGACATTGTGCCGGCAACAAGCATCCACGTTGGGGTCTTGAGAGCGTGGCATGCTGCTTGCAGATGGAACATTGCTTGTTTCCAGAACCGAGCATCCGATGACTTTCCGGTTTGGGCAAACTTGGGTGCAACAACTCCATCCAGAAGACGAGTTGCCTCGTCCATCGCAATGAAAATGTACAATGATGCAGGAGCAATGCCACGATTTTCAGCCTCTGTGTGACGAATCAAGTCCAGGGCGGCTTGCACTGAGATATCAGTTTGAGGGAGCGTAAGGAAGAGTCCGAAATAACTGAGAAGCAAACGCTTCGCGATGGCGTGCTCCGGATGATGGAGGCATTCATCCATATCCCATTTGGTTTCGCGGTCGGAATTGAAGGTTAGGAAGAGGGACAAGTGCTGGACGCTGCGCTTTCCTTGACAGACATCAGGCACAATGTCGTGCAGTGTTTCCAGGCACATGCGGGTCTTCCCGCAGCCTGGAAGGGCACTCATGAGAGCGATCGGAAAGTCTGATCGTTCCGTAGATCCGCTTTGGATGCTGTCGATGAACTTCTCCAGAGCACGTCGAATGGTCACATCCGTTTCCTCCCGGCCGGTCAAGGGAGCTGTATGGGACGCACGTGACGCGTCCTGTCAACAAAGAGCAAAGATCAGCACAATTGGCACAAAGGGCAAAAAGGCACCAAAGCTCGAAATTTCTGGCACCATACAAGAAAAGCTTTCGCGCTCGGCTGGAGTGTGTTGCAAATCTCGAGAGCTCGACTGAGGTTCTCTCTCGTGTCGATAAATTCTACGAAGCAGAACTAGTGAGCACTACAACCAAAACACACACACACACACTCACACTCACACACACACACACACACACACGTCAGCTCTTACCTTGCTCTTTGAGCCACTTCTGAATCCATCCGATCATGGACCTGGCCATCTCGCGCGCCAGAACATTCTTCTCGTAATCGTTTGGGATATCAACGAGACGATCTTCGCATCGTGACTCGATCTCGTCCTGAACGACATCCTTGAAAATGCTCAGCTCGCATTCCATAGCCGTGAGTTTGTCGTTGGTGAAATCTTTGAACCCAGACAGTTTCTTGAGGAGATAATGGCAAAGGGCGGGAACCTCCCAGGTAAACTCTGTTGTCACGCCGGTTCAAAGTCAGTCGGCGATACAACTCTACACTCCAAAGCAGTGGACGGATCGTACCGAAAGGCTCGCGGAGACGCTTGGGTAGCTTCTCGATCATCTCAGCCTCCTGTCGTTCGAGCAGAAAAGCAACAATCAGTTCCGATCCGATCGTTCATTTAGAAACCCAGCATGTGGATACTGACAGAAATGGGTGCTGCCTGGCTGCTGCTGCTGCTGCTGCTGCTGCTGCTTGCACGCTGTTCGAGCAGAACTTGTGAGTTTTCAAAAAATACCGAATCGAAACTGCTCTTTTTTTTGTTTTCACTCACATTGCCACCATCGGTGTCCATTGGCACATTTCTGCCGCTGCTGTTGCGGTTGCTGCTGTTCGCTTGACGAGCACTCTGTTTGAGCATCACGAGTCAGTTTCCACGCACCAAACAAAACTTGCCAATTGCCTTTCACTCACAGAGATGGCTTGGGTGGACGCGGCCTTTTGTAAGACAGCAGTTGATTTGGCCTTCGCTTGCTTAGAAGTTGGCACTCGAGCAAGCTGCTGGAAAGCGGCAGGGGATGCGTTGTCAATGGAGACATCCTGTCAAAGTAGTTCAAGGTTAGAACTCAAAACTGAACAATGCCTCCTGTCATCGTCCGCGGTCAAAGCATGGCACTGCAGTGGTGAAAATTTCAAGTGCATGCACAAAAAACCAAAAAAATCAAATGGCGCGCAACTGCCGAGACACCATTGAGAGCAAAGTTTGCTCCTCGCCACTCTCGCCACCACTCCCTGGCACCACAGAACCAGTTCTTTCAAAGGAGCTTGTGTAGAAAGACGAGAGGGAACACCGGGGAGGCCAGGACGACGACTCAAGAGCCACATCTGAAGCAACAAAAAGCAAAAAAAAAAAAAAAAAAAAAAAAAAAAAAAGCACGCTTGTTGCACAATGCTGCTGCCCACGCTCATGGCCGAGTCGACAGGGCGGCGGCTCGGTTGCGTGACGCGAAGAGAGTGGTGAGAGTGTTCAAGAAGAGCGACGCCGAGGCAGTTGGGAGGAAGACACGCGACAAAAAGCCAGGGGGAAGGAAGAGCAAAAAAAAAAAAAAAAAAAATTCAAACCCAATGACAGACAATGACAGAAAATGACAGGCAATGACAGGCAGGTCTCGGTCCACTTACGGTTCTGGCACGCTTGGATTGACCTTCGGAAGGGTCCTCTGCTTGACGCTTTGAAGGAGTCACGGAAGGAGCCACGGGAAGAGGCGCAGGGGGCACCAAGGCGCGTCTGTTCTTCCCCATTGAAAAAAAAACAACAAAAGACTGATTCAACCTGTCAAAGTGATTTTTTTTTCATTTTCGACATCGCGTCGTTTATGGTGAGTTTGGTTCTTTTATGAAGCTTCATCATGGCAAACGACGCTGTGTTGAGATGACAACTTGCTGATGGCTTCGCTTTTCTTTTGTTTTTCTTTTGGTTGTTTTTCGTTGTGATTTTGGTTTTGGCTTCAAATGCAAGCTAAAATCGAGCTCCAGGCTGCGCTTTGTGCTCTCCTACTTTCTCGATAAATCACGCAATGACCTCGCATCAATAACCATGGTGGTATTGGTGGGTAGGGGGTGAAAGGGCGCCCAGTGCTGAACGGTGCCAGAACAATCCGCCTAAATCACTACGGGTTCCAGTTTTTTTTTTTTTTTTTTGTCTTTTTTTTTGCGTTACTGTGCTGTTTATGGTCATGCTTTTTACAAGAAGGAAAATAAAAAAAATCAATCGAGAAAAAGAAACCCATTCAACCCACCAAGAAAAAAAAAAGAAAGAAGAAAAAAGCAACAGAAGAAACGCGGTGTCACAGCAACACAAGACGACTCACTCTCCGCTCCCTCCCCCTTCAATACGCATGGCAAATGGATGAAGCGCATTGCACCACACGCAAAACGCAAACGCCGACGCCAGAATACGACGATCAGGCGGCGATATTGGAGTTGAAAAAAAAAAACAAAAAAAAAAAAACCTTAAAAGACCGCCGCCAAAGCAATCAAGAGAGCGAGCGAGCGAGATGGTTACGAGAGCGAGCGAGAGCGAGAGACGGATGGGAATGCGTTCGATGAGATGAGAAAGAGAGAAAGAGAGAGGGAGAGAGAGAGAAAGAGTGAGAGAGAAAGAGAGAGCAAGACAGAGAGAGGCTCCGCGTGCGATCTTACAGCGGGTAGCGAACAGAGAGAGAGAGAGAGAGAGTGAGCATAAATAGAGCACAAATCATAATAAGAGGGGGAGAAAAATGCCGACCGCGTGATTGTCCCGTCAACGGGCTGACTTACCTCCATTCATTCATTCTGTCGGCTGATAAGTTTGACATTGCGTGGGTTGAGGGGACGCACTACCCCGAACTGGTTTGGGGGTTTGTTGTTCGTCCACCGCGTCGCGCATGGATGTCCTTGTCCTCTTGGTGTTGCTCTGTAGCATGGGGCGGCAACCGAGATCGGCAGCAACCGAGATCGGCAGCAACCATGACCAAGTGGCGTCTTATTGTGAGGACGATCCTCATAAGTCGCACCCATCCACAGTGCGATCGCACCATGCACTCTCAAACACGCATACACGTACGCACACGACGATCGTGTGTGCTGGTCTGCTGCTTGGGGCTGAGCGACGGCGGCGTCGTTTGAAGCGGCTTTGTCATTTCATCTTGATTTTTATTTTATTATTTTGACAGCTCCTCCATTTGAGCACTCTGTTGAGGAGGGCGGCATGAAATTCCGTCAAAAACCGCTCCTGTAGCACCGATTGGACCTTGCTGTGCCCATCAAATCGATGACGATGAACGTTGGTGCTGAGGAGGGATATCGATCAAATGCATCCAATCCAGCCATTCGTCCGCCAAAAGACACTCACCTTTGCCCTCGAGCTCCACGATGCCACGTCGTCAGAGTCGTGCACAAGGGCCTGATTCAACAACAAGAGCACTGCTTTGAAGTGTGCAAGCAAGGACTCTTTCCACTTGTCTCCCCTTGTGTGGGTGCAACTGCTGAGCATTGTTGAAATCCTTCAAGTCTGCTCTTTTGCTCTTTGATTGATGGTTTTGCAGTTGTTCTTCATTCCTTCGATTTAGATCTACTCTTCATTTTTCTTTTCTTTTATTCTCTTCATTCCTCGCAATGGCACTGCAGCAGTCGCAGCACTGCTTGCATTGAGCATTGCCGTCCTCAGCGCTCACGGTGCGTTTTGTTGTGGCTCACTTCAGCTCCTCCTCCTCCTCGTCCTTCTCCTTCTTCTTTATTCTGCTTCTTTCTGTCTTTCTCTTGCTTTGATCGATGCGCGTCATGTGCTCTTGGAGTGGCAGCCAGAAGACCGAGCTCTCATCGTCTCTCCTTCCTCTCTCTCTCTCTCTCTCACTCTCACTCTCTCTCGCTGCTTGCTACACGTCGCATGTTTTCACTCCCCACACCACGAACGCGCGTCATCGCTGTGTGTGCCTCCTGAGCCTGAGCCTCACTCATGATACCTGCCAATGGAGACCGACTGTGATCCTCTCTCCCATCAGCTTTACCCCAATGTCACGTCACTCACTTGACTTGCTCTCGATCATAGTGTCGCTCTGATTCACAGTTTGACCAGTCGCACACAGCGGCTCAGGTGTTTGCCACATCAAGTCGGAAGTGGCTGCTGGCTGGTTTCGCATTGCCGCTGTCGACCTCGCGTCGCACTCGCTCGTGCCTGCAGACCGGAACAGCCTCGACCGACGTGCTGTCGAGTTTGACTTTGCTTCCAATGCATTCATCTCGGTTATCTTTGCCATCAAGCAGCGCAACACGGACGCACTCGCCTCCACGCTCAAGGCGCCCGCCAGCGAGGACTATGGCACAGTACCGTCCACCATGCGCATTCTAGACCGCAGGCATGGTCAAACCTGATCGTTTGTTCGTTGAGGACTTGCCAAGTTTGTCGACGGCGAGCCAGATGCTGTCAACAACGTTGTCACCTCGCTCATCCTCCGAAACGTCGCCTACCGCATGCCGGCTGCCAACGACTATGTCATTGTGGACAAGATGCCTCTCGCAGTCGCATCAGAGCTCTTCATGTGCAATGTAAGGTCGGACGAGGCTCTCTCTCTCTCTCGCCAAGCACTTTGCTGAGTGCCTTCTTGCAGCTTTCTGACTCGACAATTCCTTGAGCCGAAACCTACTATTCCGATCATTAAATTTCGACCCCCCCTCTTTTTTTCACTTTTTCGCCCTCCCTGGGACCTGTGTTGCTTTCCGTCTCGCCCGCGGAATGTTCATTCATGGTACGGTGTACCGAACGTCTGATGAACACCGGGAGCGGGGGTTGTGAGTCATATCAGAGCAGCAGCGAGCAAAATAAAAAATATAAGGAAACTCAAAAAATTCACTTTTCCCGCCCAAATTTTGGTTTGGGTTCAGTCTTTTTGTGCGCATGACTCGCACACGCAGTCAGTCCACGTCCCGCGTGGCTCCCAGACAGCCCCCGGTATGGCTGCGTCCAACTTCACCAAAAAGACCGCTGCCCGTGCTGGACAAGATGCCCAGGGAGGTCGTCCGCGGTCAAGTGCTCGCGTTGCGAAATGCTGGCCTCTCCTACAACAAGATCGCCACCCAGCTTCACCTCCCACGTTCTACAGTGATCAGCATCACCCAACGTTTCTCGGGAAGGGCGACGACGAGCGACAGCCCCCGCCCCGGTCGCCCCAGCAAGCTCAAGTCATTTCACCGCAACAACATTGTAGCACAGATCCTCCTCGATGAGTCCGACACCGCACCCGAAGTGGCCGCCACTATGCGCACATTGTCCAAAGTTCGTGTCTCTCCATGCACGATAAGAAGGGTGCTGCATGGTGCAGGACTTGTCAACGGAGCGAAGGTCAAAAAAGCCCTCTTGAAAGAGACACACAAAGAGCGACGCTTGGCCTTTGCACTCGCTCATCAGCATTGGACCGTCGATGACTGGCTGAGGGTCGTCTTCTCCGACGAGACTGCTCTCTATCTCTACAGGAACAACAACGGTGGTCGTGTATGGCGTCTGGTTGGCGAAACGTTGACCGATCGATGCGTGCAGGGCACGGTCAAGTTCGGCGGTGGCCATATCAATGTTTGGGGCGCCATCTCTCGTTTCGGAATTTCGCTTTTCTGCGAGGTCGGCGACGTCATGAACGGCGACACCTACCTCTCAGTTTTGGAGAGCGAGTTGCTAGCAAGCATTCGCGTGTGGAACAACAAAAACGAGATGATTTTCATGCACGACAATGCCCCTTGTCACAAAAGAAAAGATGTGGCGAAGTGGTTCGAAACCAATCAGATCACCGTCCTGGACTGGCCTGCGAACTCTCCCGACCTCAACCCCATCGAAAATGCGTGGAACATGGTCAAGAACAAGATCTACCAGGAGAGGGAGATCAAGAGCAAGGCCGCGTTGTGGGAACGCTTCCAAGCGGTCTACGAAGAAGTGCTCACGCCAGAGGTCTGCCGCGATCTCATTTCATCGATGCCGCGCCGCATTCAAGCTGTGATAGATGCCAATGGTGGTTATACCAAGTACTGAAGTGGAGCGAAGGCGCTGCGACACGTTGTTTGTGTGCCATGTAATGCTTTGTGAAAATTGGGCAAAAAATCCGCTCTTTTTCTGTTTTTTTGAGTTTCATTTTTGTCTGTTCTCGCTTCGAATCTTAACTCCCAGCCCGCTGCTTCACTTCTAAAATGTGTCTGGTACACCGTACCATGAATGAACATTCCGCGGGCGAGACGGAAAGCAACACAGGTCCCAGGGAGGGCGAAAAAGTGAAAAAAAGAGGGGGGGTCGAAATTTAATGATCGGGATAGTACAGAGGCTGGGAATTATCCATTCGTGGTCTGTCGCAGTCATTCGAATTGAGTCGAAACAGCTCGCAACCTCCCTCCATACTGATGAGCAAGAGCAACCCTCCTACGAAAGCAGGTGGGGAAAGGTTTGAAATCCGGTACAATGAACGTCTTTCCACACAACTGTTTGCCCTCGCGTACACCTAGTACCCGCAAATTGTGTAAAGCGGTCGACCGTTTCTGAATTGCCGCTCCTTACGACAGTGTGCTGTCCCACCGCCTGCCAGCCGTCTACTTGTTAGTGAACCGTGTTGGCTAGCAACATGTCTTTCGTGGTGTATAGGTGGGGAATGCCTGATCCTTCCATTGTCAGCTAGGCTGAGCATCTGTTCGAGTTCCTCCGTGAGCTCTTGAGCACTCTCCCCGCATGCCTTCACTGGTGTGCGTTATGACGACATTCAACTGTCTCATATCCTCCGTTCTTTTTTCTTTGTTATTCTTCATATGCTTTAGACGGTGAAACAAACCAAAACACAAAATAAACAGTGGCGAAATTCGAGCTGTTTTGGCACAGAACTCTCGCGTTCAACCAAACGTCAATGCAAAGTCAAAATTTCAGAGGAGCTCGACTACCTCTTCTCCATTAAAAATCTGTTGAACAACAATTCGAAGAGATCTACTGACAAGATGGTCTCGATCTCTTGCTGCAAAGGGTTTTGTGGTTTTTTTTTTTTTTTTTTGTTTTTTTCGGATTGGAGGCATTCGAACAGGCCGAGCTCAACTGCGATTCATTGCATATTGCATTGAACCGTGCGAGAATGGACTGTTTTATGTTTCGCTTTGTGATTTGCAGTTGACTTGTGTCGCATTCATTGGTCGTTGGCTGGCAGTCTTCTTTTGTTGGTTGAAAAATTGCATTGCAATTTGGGACGACTCCTGGTAATACCTTCCAGCCCTCTTCACCAACATTTCTCCCCCCCCCCTCCTCTCCGCGTCATTTCGATGACGAGTCATTTGCTGTTGTCTGTTACAGCTTGGTTCATGCTGCGCGTCCCACAAGCACCTTCTGGACACGCAGTTGCGTTTGTCCGCTTCATGGAACCCTCGCGAATCACTGGAACCGCAACTCGAATTGACTTTCGGACGAAGCCTTAAGCTTCACACTGATCACCTCCCCGCCGCGACACACTCGCTATGTCATGTTGTTGGTTTGGCTATTTCAGGTTGCTAGTTGCGACCCACAGGCATTTCTAGACGCGCCTCGGCGCGTCAGCCGTTCGCGGAACCAACTTTGAAACCGCTGGAGAACCGAACTAACCACAAACCGACATCGTCGCTTCCCTGTCTCCTCCCGCCCTTCTCCAATGGATATAAATTTCCCAAGGCCTGTAGTGCACGAGCATACAGGCTCGCTAATGCTATGTCATATGACCAGACATGGCTCTCTGCCAATTTTGTGTCTCCAAGCTCCTTACACCCATGTCCATGCTCCCGCTCCTTTCTCCGTGGTTTTTGAGCATTTTGATGCTTTTCCACTCTCTCCTCCCAATAAACTTAATACAAAAAAAAAAAAGTTGGCTGGCGGCTCGCACAAGCGGTCATCATTATCCTGTTTGGGTTCGCCATTCGGCAGGCGTCAGACGATGGTTTGTTCTTTGCTTTTGGACCCATGCCTTCAACGACTTTACCAACAGACTTTGACGACGGGAGCCTAGCGCAGTCGCATGGTGTCACTGACGTAATATCAATCGTCATGATTCATCGCTCTCCAGCGTTCTTTTCGTTTTTGGATTTGCTGAGCTTTTCAAATGCATCCCCACATCAGCTCTTCGTTCCGAATCTTCTAGAATGGCTAAGATGATGTCACTCTGGCCAATGCATTCGCCTTTTAAGCCGATTCGCTCATCGCTCGCAACGCTCAGCTCACTCTTGAAATTTGTAGCGTCTTTTTTTTTGTTTCGCTCTTTCTCTCTCTCTCTCTCTCTCTCTCTCTCTCTCTCTCTCTATCTCTCTCTCTCTCTCTCTCTCTCTCGCTCTCTAACTCTCTCCCCTCTAACTCTCCCCCTCCCTACTGCTGATATCCGCTCGTTCCTGTCGTTTCCCCCTCATCTCTGCTTCGGCCAACCAGTCCCACTCGCCCGTTCGCTTTGCAGATTACGAAACGATTTTATTTACTTGGAAATCCGGCAGAGCGCTTTCGTCATCGTTCCGATTCATTTCACAACAAACACTCACTCGTCCGCTTGACTCTCTTCAAGCCACGCCATCAAGCAAGCAACCACTCAGTTGACCAGCACTCCGACACAAAAAAACAAACACAATGGCGACCGCTATCGTCAACTTTGAAACCATGGCTGCTGCGAACGTGAACGTCACCGCTGTCGATACCGATCCCGCTATCGCTCCCGCTGCTGTCGACGCTACTCCTACTCCTGCTACTCCTACCGTTCCTGCCGAGCCTGCCGCACCCGAGGAACCAACCATGACCTGCCAGATTTGCTACTCTGACCACCCGGCTCCAAACTTTCGGCTCCAAACTTTCTCGCGTGCTGCAACTCGGTCTGCTCTGACCCAGCTCAAGTCTGAGTGGGGTCTCGTTGCACTCGCAACCGACTGCCCATGTGAGTCAAAGTTGTCGCCGTCTGCGTTCATGTTGTTTGCTGTTGGTTGCTGTTGCCCTTGGCGGTTTTCAACGTTGTCACTCACCCACTCACTCTTCTCTCCGCCAATGTTTGACAAGCACAGGGTGCGGATGCGAAAACTCGATCGACTTTATCACTTCGCGCCTGGAGGGTGAGGACATGGCAATGTTCCTGCGTGCTGCCGTGCGCCACCACCGGTTCCTGATCCGCGGAGTGCCGCAGGACCACCCAAAGGCCGCCCTCCCGCAGTGGATGCGACAGCTCCTGGACAAGCACGCAGAGCTCGAGTACATTACCGAGGAGCCGATCGAGTACATGCAGTGCGCTCACTGCCGCGAGGATTTCGCCATCGTCGAGGACGAGGTCGAGATGGACCAGCTCGAGGACAAGCTCGACCTCCACCGTGTCATGTGGATCAACCGTCGACAGCAGCGCGACCCGTGCGCGACCTGCCCTCACTGCTACCTCGACACGTGCCGCGACTGTGGCATGCGCTATGACAACCACCGTGGCCGATCCTGCCAGGACTACCTCAAGTGGGCCATCGAGATTGGAGGTGACTGGGATACGTTTGGCGCAAAGAACGTCGAGTTTTACCTCACCCCTGAGCAGCTTGCTCCCCAGGTGCAGCATGCCCCTCCTCACCCCGCTGGTCCCGAGGTGGAGGCGGCCGAGGTGGTGGCGTCCATCGCTCTGCCGCGCGATCTGCACGACGAGGTGCTCTCTCTCGCGCGCGATCGCCTGGCCAACATGGAGCTGATTGCCCAGGAGGCGCGTCCATGCCCGTTCTGCGGCCAGCACATTTTCAAGAACGAGGGCTGCAACCACATGACCTGCAAGTGGTGCAAGTGCCAGTTCTGCTGGATTTGTGACTGGGAGGGCTTTGCGGGCGCTGTGGACGATGATGGCGAGGTCATTCCGGAGAAGCGTGTCGTGACCTTTATCGACGGCGATTGCTGCGAGCGACACGGCGTGACCCGCACGCTCCCAGTGCTCATGGCGTGAAGCAGCGCCATCCTCACATTTTCCCAACCAAGTTAGTAAACCACCACCCTCGTTAATGCCCTCGTATTCTTCTTGATTGATCGTTTCATGGTTTTTCATTGTTTTGAGTGTTTTTTTTTTTTTTTGTGTGTGTTGTTGTTCAACTGTTCCTGTCGATTATATTGTATTGTATACAATAGCAAAGAATTGTTTCCCGAGCGAACTCGATCTATCGTCTGAGCTCCCAGGAAGCCTGAGAATTCGAGGCGCTGTGCGTCGTCGTGTCGCGCTTCAGCAGTCCAACAACCTTTCCGCACATATGCCCTCTGCTCCGATACATTGAACAACCTACTGCTCCAACCAATGCTCCAATCAATCGTGCATTGGAATTGCACTGGATTTCGTTTGCTCAGTCGTTTTTGCATTGAGTTTTCTGTTGCAATGGTTGGTTTTCCGTACATGTTCTCTCTCTCCCCCCGCATCCGCCACTGCTTCCCGTTCGACACGCTGCTTGATGGACTTGCTGTACCTCCTCGCCTCGCATCGCATCGCATCGCCTTGCCTCGCCTCGGTGCTGTGGTCTGGCGCTGCGAGTGAATTGATGGCGAGCGATTTCCAGAACAAAACTCGTCCTTTTTTTATTTTATTTTTTTTTTTTTTTGGGCTTACTTCGCTTTCCCCCCCCCCCGCGTCCCTCCTGCGTTGCGTTCGCTCGCCTCACCTGCCCTCCAATCCCTCACTCCAATCCCTCCCTTTTGATCCATCGATCGTTGGAATGAGCACAAGCAACAGCTGTGGCGCGCTCTGGTCGTCGTCCAACGAAGTTTTTTTTTTTTTCCGGAAATCGCGATTTTGCTTTTTTTTTCTTTTTTTTTTCATGCTGGGTGATTCATTCTGTATGATGGGTGCGTTGTGTTGAAATGGGGTGCGTTTTGCGAAGATGACGCATGACTCTCGCCATATCGCGGGTCATGCTTTGGCGAGCAGCGTCGCGGTGCGTGTGAGTGAGTGAGTTCTCAATGCGTTCTCTCTCTCTCTCTCTCTCTCTCTCTCTCTCTCTCTCTCTCTCTCTCTCTCTCTCTCTCTCTCTCTCTCTCTCTCTCTCTCTCTCTCTCTCTCTCTCTCTCTCTCTCTCTCTCACACACACACTTGCTCTGTTTGACTCACGCTCACGCACACGCACACAGTGAAACCAGGCAAAATGGGAGGGTGACAAATAAGGGCCAAAAAAGAGAGGCGAGGGAGGAATGACAAGACGGCCGACGGCGGATGTGAAAGAAAGAGGGAGGGGACGGCCGAGGTAAGAGGAACACAAAAAAGGGGGAGGCTGGATTTGAGGAACAGAGCGTTTGGGTTTGGAGAGAAGAAAGGGTGATGTTTTTTTTTTTTGGTGTAAAGAAAAAAGGG